TTTGAACCTCGATGGTGGCCGTTTGCCGTTAGGCATTTCTCTATGGCAAGAAATATTGAGAACCGAGGCGACGGATCACCATGGATGCGACGCCACGGTGACGGGAACTTCAGCGGAGTCGTTCTGCCGTTTGGCTGTCTGGTCGACTTCTACCCCATTGCTCCCAAAATTCGCAGGGATAGAAAGGGGGGGTTCACAACGCCCAAAACGACTTCAGACACGCTGGGAAGATTGACTCAGAGGACGTTGGTGAAGGAGGAGACCACTGGATCGCAAATGAAGACGAGAAAGTTCTCACCCGCGTCCATGTTGAAGTGCGAACCGAGCTGTTTATCCCGATAGGGGCAAACTGTCCAGTCAGGATTAAAGACCTTGGCAGAAGGCGAAGCACAGTCCTCAACTATCTTGACGGATCAACGGAGTTCGTCGTTGACGAGAACTGGCTTCAGGCCGAAAATAATCGCGGAGGCAATCACGAATGGACTGGAGAAACCCATTTCGACTGTGATTTCGATCAGATCGATGAGGATGAGGCTGAGATTTATGAGAACGAGGAGTACGAACCCGAGTGTAATGACGAACCGGACTTTGTTCCCACTGATGAGGTAGAGGTTGAAGAGACGAGTGTCACTACTGCCCTGCCCGCCGAGAAGAAAGAGCGGGACTTCATCAAAATCGAGGAAGATCCAAAGTTCGCTCCATCATCCAAGCCAGGCCTATTTTTGGGCTATCGGTTAGAACCAGGGGGGCTGTGGAAGGGCGACTATCTCGTTGCTGATCTCGAGCACTTTTAAAGGGGCGTCAGGAAGCCAAGTATACACCAGGTCAAGCGTATCTGGAAGAACCCTGAGGAGCCCTACGTGTTCCCAATGTTGGCATCCTATGATGCTAGGACTCGAACCATCCGGGAGGCGTTAGCTGACCGAAGGGCCGACCTTAAGCCAAGCAAGAAGATCAGGGATGAATTCGACTTTGATGAAGGTCGATTTGATGATCCTGATGATGATGATGATGATGATGACCAACAGGACGAGGGGGGCGGTAGCTCTTCCAAATCCGATGGGACCGTTCAGAGCAAGGCTGTCCAAGGAGGTGGTGACGCATGCATCTCAGATTACTGGGCGAGGACAGCGCCTGGTATCGCATTCACGTCGAGGTGCGGAAGAAGTTCTTCGGGACGACAAACGAGGACCTTCCTCCAGGTGGTCCTTCGCATGAAGAGCTTGACACCGTTAGGGTCACTCACATGCGAGGGCTTGATGCCGTTGGAAATTGGGTAAGGGATGATCGTCATCACGATGCTCCTAACCATCGGCATTTCACGCGTGGATTTTGGACAGGTGTGACCATCCTTTTCGATAAGGGATGCGCTCCCCACGGTAGGTTCAAGCCAAAGGAAGAAAGAGCAAAGCCTGCCGGAGATTCGAAGAAGGGTCACAAGCTGCACGGAGACAGGATCGACTATGGCCAATCCGCCGATAGGCGTGAGCGGCCATACGCAGGCACCGGAAAGCCCAACTCAATTGACGCGGATAGTTGGAGACAAATGTCTACCCGGTCACGGGAGATATATGTTCAAACCGAGCGGGAGTTATCCCTAAGGGAAGAACGACGTCGAGAACATCCTGAGAGGGACCCGGCTGCTCCGGCGCCCGGCCGCAAGCTCCTCATCGAGTTTGCGTGTGAACCTGACTCACGTCTGTCCGCTCCTGCCCCCTTCCGTGACCCATTCGTCTACGTTAGTGACGAAAGGGTGAGGACGGTTCTTGATGGTCGTCAACCGGAGCCGTTGAATGTGAACGTTGACGAGCTCCAGTCGGTGCATCATGCTGCACAGGGTCCTGGTCCTAAGCAGGAGCCGATCATCAAGGGCGGAAAAGGAAAAGGGAAGAAGGGAGAGAAGGGCGGTAAGGGCGGTAGTCCTTCCGGCCCACCACCGAAGTCAGGTGACGTGCCAGGAAAAGGGTCTGGTAAGGGCGATAGCCATCCGTTCCGAAGGCAAAAGCAAAGGCTGATGCTGGGCCGGCTCCGATGGAGGTTGATGCACATGCGGCTCAACCGAAGAAGACTTGGGTCGCGATAGCGGTTGAAGGAGCCCGGCCAAGTGCAAAGGCTAAGATGACTCCGGTCCCAAAGGCCAAGCCGAAGGGAAAGGCAGCTTCAGTTTCTGAGGCGAAGAGTGCTCCAGCTCTGAAGGCTGAGCCTAAGGAGACGAAGCAGGCCGACCCGAAGGTTGATGTCAAGAAGGAGAAGGTAGGCGGAGACGACGCTCCCGGCGATAGTCGGGGGTCGGCTGAAGGGCAGAAGAGAGAAAGGAAGTCCCGTTGGGATCCCGACGAGACTGTGAAGGAGTCGACAAAGCGGGAGGCATCAAAGAGGCCTGATGATGTTGACAGCAGGCCAGGTGCGGCGGCGAGAGAGGCAAGTGGAGATGATCTTCACTCCGCGCTTGGTAGGTCTTCGGCAAAGGATGCGGTAGCGCCTTCCACAGCCTCCAAGGCAATGGCAAAGAAACCTGAAGGGAGTGAGATCCGGTTGCAATCGGCTGAGCGAGCTGCAGCGAGCTCGGTGGAGGGTCATTTCCTGGTGTTGCCAGAGAGTTCGGTGGTGGACGCCTTCCTGTCGATTTCCTCCAATAGGGTGCTGAATAAGCAGGTCAGAGATTTCATCAGGAATGGTGAGAATGCTTCAGCACTGGAGGCTCTCAATCAGATCGTGACGAACTCTCGCCTTGGGAGAAGGCGTCGGGATGTGGACGTTTCCCGCACTCCGTCTGGACACCAGGGATTCCCGAGAGTCAAGAAGGCGCAGATATCGACCGCGGCGTGACGAAGATCGAGACCGGAGGAGGGACGATGCTCGAGATCGTCGTGATGATGATTCTCTCGGCCGGGAGCGGGATCGAAGGCGAGATGATCGCAGGAGATCTGAGAGGGATCGTGATAGGGACCGTGCGCGGGGCGGACGTGACCGGAGGAGACGTGACGATAGCCGAGAGGCTGAGTCGCGAGGATTGCGGCCGATAGGCTTGCGTCCATTCTCCGATGGTCGGCGCGGTGCGGAGGTGGTGATGTTCCTCCCGAACCGCTGAGGCGCGGAGATCGTGTCTCTCCCGTACCGCTGCTCGGCTGCTGGTCGTGCTCACCATGAAGTAGTGTGAGTGAGAGGGGAAGCAAACTGGTGGGGGATACTCCCAGGTTTGCGGAATTCAAGCATTTTTCAGGTACGCATGGTCAGGGGTACCTCTTGCCGATAGGCAAGGGTACTGGTGAACATACGTTACCCTTTGTTTCATGGCTTCTGATAAGAATTGAACTACTTGCACAATTGATGCAAACAGTTGTGGCCTAGTGCCGTCATGTGGACTTTTCCACAGGGTATGTTGGACAGCGTTACCCCGATTAATTCGGGGTGGTGGCGGGATTTTAACGCCCGGGACGTCGCGCAACTGCCTTTGTGGGTTTGCTCCACCGCTGACGGCGGTAGTGTCCAGCTGTTTGCGGACACATGCGAGCAGTTAAATCCTATCAGTAAATGGCACGCTCCACCCGTCATATGACGGGCTCCTCGTGAGGGGGGTGTGATTAGCCATGGTTCATATCATCATCAGGGACGTCGCGGTAGTGACCGACCTGTGGTGTTTTGGCTCAAGTTTACGGGTTCCGTCGCGCCTCGAATGGGCGTCGCCGAACCCCTGCGTCGACCGACGGCATCTCGGGGGAGAAAGAGACCTCGGGCCGCCGCCAGGTTGGTAGGGACCAGTCGTGCGGCCTGTTGTCGACCAAGGTTGCGGGTTAACCCTTTTCTTGTTTGGTTTGTTTCCTTTTGGTTGTTGTTCTCTGGTGTGTGGGAAACCCTGATCTTTGGGACCGGGGATTGGTTTGCTTTTGGGGAACCTTTCTTTTGTGGCTTGTTTACCCCAACTAACCCATTGCCTGGGCACAGGCTCGTGCCCGAATCACACATATATATATATATATATGTGTGTATGAATATATGCATTTTTTTTACAGTACTATTGTTGGGTTCCCTTGACCTTTCAGCCGTGGCTTCGTTCAGCACTGTCCTTTGGTCCAATGTGGCTCGACGGGGAGAGACGCATGGCGATCAATGCCAGGCGCATTTGATGGCACCAGTTCCTATGAGTGTGTTGACTGACCTTCAACTTTATCAACTCACGAGCTGTCCTGCAAGTTGTTGTTTGACTCCAACTGGAGACATGCCAGCTCCCCTCACCCAAGCGGCTGGGAAGATCATTTGAGTAATTGGTACAGGGTACAAATGTAAAGGCAAAAACATCTGCCTTGCAATTTGCACCGAAAACGGAAGAGGACTCACCAAAAAATGCCACGTGAATACAGATGTTGAACTGGGCTGGATTCTGTCACGTGCGTAACAGAAGTTACACTCCTCTGTCCTCTGACATCGACATGCCTCGACCCCCATTCCCGAGCCTTTTTCAGGGTACCATGCCTTCTCAAACAAGTCACGGGAAAATTGAGAGGGCCTTGGAAAGCGCGGTGCCGAATTTTACTGAGAGATACCTCGCGTTTGGGCACGTTTTCCCAGGGTCACAGTGCCTTCTCAGCCTTTTGAGGAGGCACGGTCTTGGGGGGAGCCCACCAAAATTCGGGGGCCGCGCATCCAGAGTCCTGACAAGATGGTTTCCCTCTTTGGTTGCCATTTTCTCGGATTAAAAACTGCCAGCTTTCATGTCGAAAGTTTGGTACGAGTGGCTGGTAAAAAGCTCAGCTCACCACTGGGATTCCTGACAGCATCGGACCCTCAAGCTCACCTAGGTTTGAAGAAAGCCTCAGGCACAAGAAGCCGTTAAAACCTTAGCTTAGTCCTTGCAAGTTCCTTATCTCACTTCGTGAGTGGAACTTTCATCACTTTTCGTTGGATGATTTTGGGTGTCCAAAAAGTTTGTGAACACTTTCGGCCGTGCAACCCGCGGAGAGTTTGTATAAACGGACACGCGAAACCGTGCGGGGTTCCAGGCGTAGTCCCAGCGATGGCCCGGGAGCCCGAAAGCCGAAGGGTCTTTCCCCGTGGCCCGTTGATCCACTGAACCCTCCAGTGGTTTGAAGGTCCAAAGAGACTTGGCGTCCTTAAACAAAATGTTCGGGACCTGAAGCGCCAGGAAGTCGGTTTTTGTGGGTTTTTTTGAGGGAGAGGCTGTGTCTCGCTCCAATTTGTTTTACCAGGGATGAAAGGGAAGGAGTCGCAACTGGGGGACCTTTTGGGCACTGCCATGAAGGGTGAAAGCCACCTACCCCTTCGAAGAAGAATCCTCTTCCCAAAGCGTGGAGCTTTCATGGAATCGCCGGGTCATTGGCAAATCACTGGCAAGTTGCAAGATCCTTTAAAGGGTCCCCAGCGTTTTGCGAAGCAGTACAACAAAAACAGTCTGAAAAAGGTCCCTGTTCTTGCAAACCTGAGGCAGAATCCCAAGGAAATCCGGTTCTTCAGCACCGTTTGGAGTCAATTTCCAAGCTGAAACCACACTTGCCCACCACATGCCAACGAAGGGCTGACAAAAAGCGGCAACATTTGAGGTATGGTCAAACATTCTGTAATCTGCGGTTTCAATCACGTTGAACCAGAAACACCTGCGGCACGAACCCCTACTTTTTGTATGCCCATTTCGGGACTGGCCTACAAGTCCTTGTACGACATGGTGAAGACGGACCTTCAAGACCAGACTTTGGAAGGTCCAAACTTGTATTTTTTTTGTCGTTGCTCAGCTGCCCAAAGCCCTAAGCCTGAAAGCGCAAAATGTTGAAGACTTCGGGGTTAGTCGGCCGATAGTGATGTTCCGTTGTCGGGAAGGGCATTCCAGTTGGAGACTCGCTGAGTGAGGCTCTCTCACTTCGCTAGTTTCTGGACTTCCTACTGCTTGGGCAAATGTTCGGGTAAAGAGAGAAGTCAGCCTTGTTGATCCTGCTTGTTGGCCCAACTCCAGATCATGGCAGAGAGTCGCCTGTCTCCGAACTGTGGGGGCTCCATGCAAGCTTGAGACCGAAAGTTGCCTGGAGCTGTTCACAGCGTTCCGGTTCTGTCAACTGGTAGGCAAAGCGCCACGGCCGGCCCTGGCAAGCCTCTCTGTCGACGCAAGCGGATCGAACAGGAAGGCCCCAAGTGAGGAAAGCGGGTCCAAGCTGACAGCACAAAATGGTCTATGAGCTTAGGGAACCTCGAAAGTGTTTGGAGCATTTGTTTTTTATCCCCCAACCTAAAGATGATGCCAGAGTTTCGGCATCTAGAATTTCATCTTTGCCATTGGTCTTTGTGTTTTGCTCAGGCGTATTCCTAAATGGAAGCGGTTGCCATGATCTGTCAGGCTCCGATCCCCTGGGAGGAGGCTGACCCATTCAGCATCTCCATGTACGCGCAGGCGCTTGAGCCAAATCGGGAGATGGCTCAACTTTTTTTGGCCCACGCATTTCGGCTTTCGCGCGGTACGGTGTCCCGTGACCCACAAAGCGGGGCACCCTCAAAAAAGAGGCGCCCATGGGGCTTGTCCTTATGTCTTGAGACACCACTTGGGCGGGGGGGGTCAAGGGCAAAAGCAAAGCACTTGGGTCCAAATGCCATGCCATAAGGCTTCTCCAATAGCTCTGGGTCGGAGATTGAAAGGCTGATTTCCTTTTGAAGCCCAAAATCCACGCAAGGCTACAGGATCCCTGACAATGGGGAAGACCTGGTGTGTTCATCTTAAACTCATTTTGCCCCGGTCAGGGCGTTGATTGGGCCCACTCCGCCTTATTTTACCTTGAGGAACTCGCGGGAACCGACTCTTGCTCTGCCCGCACCTTTGGAACATGGTACGTGGCGCCATGGGGAACAACCGAACCACCTGAGGCTTCTAAAGACATGGCCCCCCCCCATTTCTGGTTGAACGTTTGGCTTCTAAAGAGAAGGATGGATGAAATGGGAATCGACCCTGAGAAAACCACGGGAAAATGGGTGCGACGACGATTGATTCATGGGACTCCATTGATCGGTTTGGATGGCGGTGCCACAGCTAGGCTATACAAAATTTGTTCAAACTACCTGGAGAAAAGAAGAATCCCCTTCATGGACTTCAAGCTTTGCGGGAAGCCCATGTTTGGGACTTGAGTCTCAAGAAGTGAGATCATAGATCGCGCCAAACCTTCGGGTTTGGCCGTGGCTTCAACAGGCCGAGAGCGAAAGATGTTATTCCGAGACACGCGGTGCCCTCTTTCCTTTGGAGGGGGTTCCCTTTTAAACACGACGACCAAAACAACGAGTGCCTCTTTTTCCCGCCAGTGGGGTCTGGGTGTATGGGCTTGTCGTGGCATCCTTGTTTCTGGACACTGAATCCAAGTAATCCGTGCAGATGGAAGTCAGAACGGCCACGTAGTACGCGGCAGTCTTCCAACCCATTTGCTGCCATTTGCCATGGGCCATGCATATTGGAGGAAACACGCGCCCATGGCACGTGTGGTTCTTTGAGGGGCCCTCTTCAGCTTGAAAGGGCAACAAGGAAAGTACGTTGACACTTTTGACATTGCCACAGTTCCAGTAACTCCAATGGTTGGCAAGAGGGTTGCTGGGACATGGGGTCACCTTCCAAACCCCTCACATGGTCCTTGCGTGGGGTACAGACAAAAGTCGCGAAGGTCTCCCCAAAACTCCGAAGCTCCAGACCCTTTTTGGTGGTTCCCCTGTCGGTGTTTTTGCGGTGCGGGGTTGCGGATCCTATGGGTCTATGGCAAAACACCAGATGTGAAAGTAGATGCCACAGTTTCCTTTGGGAATGGTTAAACCCAAAATGGGGGAAAAGTGTGTCGCTTTTGCCCAATGGTACTTGCTCTTTTTGTGTGCTGCTTGCACGTCCAGTGACCCCGACCATTCAGGAGTCTACGTACTGGGCGAGCCTCCAGGAGAGTGACACCCTGATGCGCCCGCACTCCCAGCAGGAAAATCCTGACCGCTAACCCTGGAATCGGATCAAGGCAGTTCCCCAGGTGCGAGTTTGCCGGCGAACTGAAACCTGATGGTGTCTGGCTTCCTCTTGAAATTCCCTTTTGTCCTCCGGTGATATCCCCAGCACGAGGGTGCTTTTGCGCCCCACACGTTGGAGCTCGTCATTCCCCCGTAACCAGGTCAGGCAACCGGTCCCTGATTATTTCGCATGTCAGGGTAGACCAAGTACTGTGGATGGACGAAATCCTGCACCACTTGGAAACCATGAGAAACCATGTTTGGTTGGTATTTACAGGGGAATCAACATTCCAGGGTTTCTTAGGTGGTGCAAAATGGATTTCGTCCATCCACAGTATGGGCCAGACTCTGCAAACACTCGCGTACAGATCTGGGCCAAGCGCACATCAGACCAGTTTCGGCGACCGGACGGTCTCCGAGCTCCGAGGCGTGTGCCGCGAGCTGTCGGCAGGGAGGTAGGGACCCAAGTGTCGACGTTTGTTTTCCGCTCGAGTCTGGATGTGTCAAAACCCCCGTTGATAGATAACACAAGTCCCCATGTCCAAAGGCCACGAACTAAAGGAGTTGAGCGAACTTGGATGAACCATTCTCCGGGAACACACACGCAGAAAAATAGAACTTGGTCAAGCCTGTTTCTGCAGGTACTTGCCCCAGACGTCAAGGGAGTCGACCATTGATCCCTCCCGGCAGATAAAGGAAGACATAGAAGAGAGACGTATAGTATGGGCAACTGTTTGCAAGGCCTCCATGTTTTGTTTGCGACTTGTTATGTGTAACCCGCTTGGTCCTTTGCCGGTGAAGTCCTAGCTCGCATGTACAGCGATGGGAAAAGTGAAGGTCCAAGGTGGAAAACGTCTCAGAGCCTTCCTTTTGCTATCCTGGAAGGGTCCCCTTCCTCTGTTTGATTCCTTAGAAAGAAGCGTGAAAGGCTCCGGATTGATTTCACATGACTCTTATCGCGCCTGCCAGGACCTCTTCTGGTTTTGGGTGACAGATCTAGCAAAAAGGAGGGAGCAAGTCACGATAAGTCGCGGGTGGTTGATTGCCATGACAAATGCCCTGGAGCCTGAAGAGAAACAGCAGGAGGTTTGAACAGCTTGGCCGTCTCATGTTGCCATGTTTTGCAGGGTTGCAAACACGCCCCAGACTTGTGAGGCCAAAAAAAGCAACTCGAGCCCATTTGCATTCTTGTCTGGAAACGAACGCCGGGTTCCAAAAGATGGCGTTTGTTGCTTCCAACGAACTCCCGCGCAGATGTCAAGTTCGGATTTATGAGCCCCTGGTGGATTTTCCGGGGGGTGTCCCCTTTGAGTGGTGCTCCGGATCACTTTGGGCTTGATTCCTCCGGGGCAGCGAAATCAGGTCCAGCGAGGCGGTGGAGAGTAGCATCGAGCAGCTCTGCAAGATGTGCTGGGCAGAGGCTCTTGAGGCGCGATTTCGACGAAGATCTGCTCTTTTGGGTGCACCCCTAGGGGCAGTCAGTGTACTTAGTGGCTAGTAAGCCACTTGCTATGTACCCTGCCCCTTTACGTGCCCTGTTTTGAGGCTACCTTTTTCGAGGGTGTCCCCTTTGATTTGGTTTACCAGACCCGTATCCCCGATGTCGGCATGTGGATGTGTCTTGCTGAACCTTCCCAAATATGGGTGACATAAATCCCTATCCACTGTCTACTATTTTTGGTTGTTTAGACCTTCGGCAAGCTGCCATTCACGGGCCAACCAGTTTGGGAGACTCCGGAAGTCTGTTGCAGCTCCCTGGGATTTCTCAAAATGCGATAAACTCTACATGGGGCCAAAAGCTGTCGAAAGGTGTCCGTTTAGCTTCCATTTGCTAGAGAACAGGTTTCATTTTTCCTTTGTTGGTTTTACAATAAGCTTTTTTTTTAAGTTTGGCTTCCCTTAAAACCTTCTTCGCTCATTCCTGCGCCAGGCCATTGACAGCCACACCCTGCTCATTGCGGCGCGGGCCGAGGCGCGCAGGATGGGCTCGTCCTTTCGTTTGGAGCCCCAAACGGCGCAACAGGTTGTCCTTGTGTCCGTTTAAAACCCACCAAGGGGTACCCCTTTGGTTTCCCCTACCAACCCCAAAAAAGGGCACCCACAAACAAAATCGGAAACGTGAGTCTCTTGACGATCGCTGCTTTTTTCATTGTATTTCCGTTCGCGGAAGTCCTCCTTTCAAGATGCGAACGCCGGAGGCGAAGGGAAGTGGGGTCACTCACCGAGAGTTTTCAACTTGATGCTCAACCCGCGGGTAGGTTGTAACTTGTAACGTTGTGTCCATAAAAGGGTGAAGAAACCATGGTGAGATCACCTCTGCCTGACGTGGGTTCTTGGCTCTCCTCCAAAATGATATCATATTTTGGGGTAGGTGAAATGTGCACCGGAATCTGCAAGTTTGAGTTTTGTGGTACACCAGATTTGTGCCAAGCGTTGAACATCCACAGGTCCACGTTGAGGTCGGTTTCAGTGAACGCCTTTGAGTCGTAACGGGCGGATTGGGTTTCGGCCAGCCTGGTGTGATTCGGCCCATCCAGCCGGTTTTTGGTGATTGACATCGGGGGGGTCTACCTAGAGATGCACGAAAAGGGTATTGGGGCCCCAGGGAATCGCCAAGGCTGGTGAGAGACCTAGGGATCATTTGATATCATTTGAGGTTCCGCTCTTCTCTTCCAACATATGTTGGCGTCAATTGAAGGCTTCCCCCACCAAATCCCCATACCTTTATAAACCCAAAATCGTGGATTGGGTTCCCCCCCCCCAAAAAAAATCCCCATACCTTCATAAACCCAAAGTGGGAGAAGTCTTTAGCACTCTCCCAGAGGGTCCTAAGTACCCCATATTTGCGGCTTTGGGTTTCGTTCAAGGGGATTCGTCAATGATAGATTCCTCAAATCCGCAAAAAATATCTGAGGTACTTGGACCCCTTTGGGTCTGGTTCGTTTTAGTTTGGGTTCCGAGCCCCGGCCCGAGTCGAGCGATCGGCCAGGTGGACCACCTGAAACGGCGGCTCGCCCAGTGCAGCTTCCAGCGCCTCGGCCTTCGGAATAACTTCGAAGCCGAGAGGCTTCGGTGGATTTCCGGGGTGTGGTTCCTGGAAAACGGGATGGTTCCCCTCAAGTTGGTGTACCCATCCCACGGGGTAAGCCGCCCATTGGAAGGCCCAAAGAATTCCTTGGCTCCATTTCGGAGGTCCGGCTTTCGGAGGTAGGGCGCCTGCCAGGCTCAAAAAGCCATCCAGTGGCGTTCAGTGGATAGCGTAACAGGAGGACGTGGATGGCGATGTCACATTTGCATATATATATATATATAAGTATACATGTATGTACATATATATATATATAACACCTTCAAATTTGGGATAAAGCAGTGCCAAGCACCAAGAGGATAGGGGCATTCATCCAAGGAGCGTGAAGCAGATCCTTGATGAGGCCAGCAGGGGGTTGGTGTTTGGGAGGGGAAGTTGAGGAGTTGAGGGGAGGGGGACTCATGACAAATGCAAGGCCAGGGTCACTCAACAGCGCCCAGAATCACTGTCAACCATAGCGCTGATAGTTTGTTATTTTTTTATGAGTGGAAAGACATCGATGGATTTGGATGTGCTCATGGTTGTCACTTCAGCAGACTTGTCTTTACCCCACGTCACAAGAACTGAGTCAAGACCATGAAGCAACCTTTGAGGCGGCCTCTTGGAGGTTGCGCCACAACCAAAGCCTGGGAACCAGGGTGGTACCGGGGTCTGGAGATCGGTGCGGAAAGTGTTCTAGTTTTCGGAAGCTCCCTTTTTCTTCTAATTAGGGACCTGGTTCTCGGTGGCTCCCAGCCATCCGGTTCAACTTAGCCGTTTGGCCTTTTACTGCTTAGCGGTGGTTTCCAATGAACCCACTAAGAGTTAGTCACTTGCGGGGGATCAGACAACCAGCCCAGGGTTGCGGCCTCCAACCGCCGAAGTTGAAAGGGATGTTATCTCCAGAAGCACGGGGGTTCTGCAAGTGGGAAAATGTTTTTCCCAGGGCACAGCACTGGGTTGCTGTTTGAGGCCGGTGCACGTGGTTTCCAGTGTCCCAGCAAACATTGCCAGACTTGGCCGTTTTTCAACTGTTTGCGGGTCTAAGTCTGGTGAAGCAGCTGCCACTTGCAGGACGAAATCACGGAGAAGAGGCGATCCGTCGAAGCTTCTGGGCTCCGGGCGACCCAAATGGGTCCCAAACTGGTGTGTCTCAATGAAAATCCGGTGGCACCAATCGCGGTGTTCCTTTGTCACAAAAAAGCACCCCCCCCCCCAAAAAAAAAAAAAAGGACACGCTCAGAAACACACTCATCGTTTATGGACTCGATGATCACAGTTCCGCTGGAGCTTTTGAGTGGTTGCTTGCAGCTTGAGTTGCCAAAAGCAACCCGCACAAACTCCGCTGATGCAGAGCTCGCAGTCGAAGCTGTTCATGGCCACCCTTCGCGGCCGCTAGTGACGCATAGTTGGAATGGCTCCCCTTATCTGTACTGCTATTGGGTTGGATCTTTAGACTTTAACTTTTGGATTCTCCTCATGGTTCCTTGTAACCAGCAAAAGTTAAACTTTTTGCTGGGGATCTACAGCACCCGAGTTATGTCCCTGTAAATCGTTCAGGATAGGGTGTTCTATTGGAAGGGTTCCAACACCTCGAGCCAAAGTAGAGGCTCTACTCCCAGGATATAGAGGGCCTATACAAACCTGTTCAAGCTGATGGAACAAAAAAACAGAGTGTTTTGGGCACTGCCCAATGCTGTCTTCTTGTTTGGGTCTCAATGTTTCATGCAAGCCCGGATGTGTTCATGCTCTCTTATCGCGGCTTGGTAGTCAACTGTTATTTCGGGCCATGCATAGTGGTGCGTGCATTTCTTTGGTGAAGCAGCGTCAAATTGGATGGGGCGTCCAAAGTCGGTGTTTAAATGGGCATCCATAGCAATCGATCCGTAGCATCTATGTCTTACCGGTGTGGCTTGGTCTCCAAATTGGAAAATCCGTCATGTTTGCTGAGCAGCCACAAGCGTTTTCGCACGTGGAGCAGCAATAGAAATGTGCAACTTTTGAGGCAGCTCGACCGGTGAAATGGGAGAAGGTGAAAAGGTGAAAAGGTGAAAAGGTGAAAAGGTGAAAAGGTGAAAAGGTGAAAGTGTTACTGTTGATTAGTTGCTGATACTTTATTGACTCGTTGGTTTTGCTTGGTCTGGTTGGATCAGCAATGAGTTGGAATGACCACGAGAGAAGCCATCTATGGCGTTTCCTGTAAGAAAACACCTTTCCGGTTCATTCCCAAAACCCGACTCGGTCATTCCCAAAACCCGGACTCGGTCCCATCGCACCAAGCCAATGCAAACCCATGAATTGTTTAATGAAACCCTAATGCAGGTCACAAAGATCCTGGCAAATGGGCCACTTGACCTTGACCTTGGTTTGGAAAACCCTCCCCAAAAAAGCCGGGCCGCACTGTTTTGCCTGAGGGAATCATGGTGTGTCTTTTCGGACCGGCCTTTTCGGGGTTGGCGGAAAAGGAAGCCACTGGAAAACCCAGGAAGTTTTCGGGGTCCCGCTATGTTCAGACACAATTGGGCTGGCAACCTTGAGACTCCACGTCAAGGGGATGGTCTCCAGGTTGCACATCGATGCAGTGGATCTGAAACAGCTAGATCAGGACCGAGCCGGCGGCTGCCGGCTTTTGGGGAACGTGTGGATCTTCTGTACCTAAGTAATACCGTGCTGTTTGGCGGCTTTTGCAAGAAGGTGGGTCAACTCCACAAAATTGGGTTCCGATTCTTGTTCTACGAGGGTCACTGAAGAGCTGGAAATGGGTGTGTCTTTTTTGAGGGGAACACACCCATTTTGCGGGTTCCCGGAAGAAAAACAAAAACGAGCCACCTAAATACCCTTGCAAGCAAGTGACATAGTCGCAGTTCAACGGTTGGACCACTGGGAACGTGGACCCCCAAAAGACCCTCACATGGCGGGGGTCTCAAAGTAGAGGACTCCCCGTTCCAACCACCCATAGAGAAATCTCCTGTTAGGGGACCTTCCCAGTCTAAACCGGGGCCCCTTGACGCATTCGCTTCAGTTTCTCTACATCGGGATGATATGGGCGGCGATTGGATCTTTGGTGTGAGAAGGCGTTGACGCTTGACCTCCCAAAGCAACAGAAGTTGCAGCCCAAGGCCCGTTGGATGTCGCAGGCACTTTCTGAGTCCGGGGGTCTGTGGAAAAAAGGGTTCGGCTTGTGTTCATTCCCAGAGCCTCTGTCTAGTTTCTGTGTAGGGTAAGCCAGTTTGTGTCTTGTGCAATGTCAAAACCCGACGGGGCAAAGAAACTGTGAGTAGTCGACGTGGCCTTGCAAGGCGGAGATGTTAAGCAGAGGCACTGCTTTGCTGAGTTGTGTGTGTGTGTGTGTTGCAGAACGGATAGTTGCCTCCTTCGCTCCCAGGCAAAACAGCCAGTTTGCTCTAAGCATAAAGCACGGCAGGTGTCCAAGGCCGCACATGTTTTCACCCTTTTTTGGTTTGGTGTCCCCAGTTTGGCAACCATGTTTGGTCATTTGTCCTGCCCCGACGGGTCAACGTCCTTTGGGCAGAGAACCTTACTTCGCCCTGCGCCAGGATCAGACGGAGAAGCATCTGGAGAAGCACCGGGGCCCAAACACCGAAGCCTAGGGGTGCAAATCGAAACCCAGGTAGAGGAAGAAAAGACAGCGAATTACCATTCATTGGGTGCGGGTATCTGCCAATTTGATCCTTTTTACCTAGTTTTGGGAGCCTTTGAGTACCAGGTGTTGATTGCGACTCATCTGCAAGGGTTCAAAGTTCAGTTCAAAACTGGGTCACTCGTGACAATCGTTGGGTTGGACCGAAATAATTGTAAACGCTGCGCGTTGCCCGCCTCGGCCCCGCCGAGCGCGCAGCGTCTGTGGTTCGACTGCAAGCAGCAGAGCTGGTCAAGTGGCGATTCAGGCATGGACAGGTTCTGGCGTCGTTGGACCAATTCATGTCATGGGCCCGCAGGAATCCCCGAGGCAAGGGCAAGGCGATGCACAGGACCAGGAGCGAGCCATGGAGCCTTGCTTGGGTGGTTGCTGGTTGGGCTAGGCCTGAGCCGACTCTTAGACACTGGGCTGGGCCCAAGGCCAGTCTCAGACATGTGAGCGTAGTCTCAGACACGCCAGGTTGAGACAAGGCTGGCTGGCTCAGCAAGTGGCTGGCTGGTGAGTGGGCAGCTGGATTACATCATAGTGAGTTCGTTTTCCGGGCGACCGCAATAAAAGGGGCAGATCTTTAGAATTTTCCGCTCACTTACGGATCGACTTGGAACTCCCAAAATGTTCATGTTTATCCGAATCGGCATTTGGAACTTTTTTGCTTTCTTGCTTGCAGAAGGTTGATCAACTGCCTGCTTCGAGGCTCTGCAAAGACGCCGCGACTCCGCGAGGCGCCTTGGCGTTTCGGACATCCACTTGCACTCACTGCCTTGGTACTTGCGGAGGGGTTCAAGATCTTTCGTCTGCTGGAGGCAAACCGATGCGCCCATTTTGGGGCAAACGCAAACTGTGGGAAACCAGATGTTTCACAAAGCAGTGGGCCAAACTGGGCGAATCGAAGCAGGGGGTGCCCTTTCTCATCAAGTAAGGTTTAAACCTCACTTTTTGGAAGCCAAAGAGTGCTCCGTCCAGCTTGAGGGTGATGTTTACTTGGTTGCCCTTTGAAGCTTGTGTCCTGTCGCAGCAGGAAAAACAGATCAGGCTGAATGCCTTTCTTCAGGCATTCAATATGTTGAGATCCGTGTGGAGGCCCAATTCAACACCCTCACCTGTGAGCATCCAAGTACCGAAGTCTGTAAGTTCCCATGGTCCATAGCTTGCAAAAGCGAAGCGTTTCCAAACCACCAGAAATGACTGGCTCAATTGGAGTATGCCGTCGGTGTTGCCCGGCTCTGTAACTGATGGCACCCGCCGGCGGTTGAAACCAAGATGCAGTTATGCCACCCAAATTCACGCAAGGAACTCAAAAGGGGTCCCATCCCCTCGGCGCTTCCGGTCCTCAAAACGGGTGTTCTTGGGCTTCTGACACATGTTCATCTTGATGGTCTGCAGCAGTGTTTGATCCCCCGGTAGATGGTTGGAGGGTGGGCCTGTTGAAGGGGCTTGCTAGACTGCAGCAGTCGCCTCCTACGGAGAAACCACATTTTCAGATCCCCGATTTCCATTTCGACCCAGAAAAAGACTGGGGGGTGTTCTGTTTGGCGTCCGGGCGAGAGCTTTGGGTTTGCAGGAACCGGGACGCAGGACATAGGCGTCAACACAGAGGCGCGTTTGGGATTTAGGGAGCGCCCCTTCCTGTGCATGGACAAAATATGCAGCGAGTAGGAGATTTATTCCAGCATTGATTGGGCTTCATTCATCCCAACTGGTGAATGTGTTTCTGTGAGAGTGGTTCTGGAAGCATCTGATCTTCCAGGTAAGTTTCCACGGATGTTACTTGTGCGAGGAAGGGTAGGTCTTTTGCGCAGCGCAAACATGGAACCAAGCTCTTCAGCGGCCAAGATGGTACGGTCGATTTACGACGATTGCGCAATCGTGCATGTTGCAGGTATCGGTCAGCCTTCGATACTATTTCCTGCGCGCTTGCCGAACCAGCTGGCAATTCTTAGTCATGAGCAGCGCCTTTTCGGCCAACATGCTTGTTGGGGCGCTAGTTTGACCCGTACCCAGCATTCCCCTTGCCCTGTGGCTTTGCGAATGCTCAAGCAAGGCTCCTTCCTAAGGCTGCCAGTTCGCAACTTGGTCTCTGCAAGCTTCCGCAAAAATGACCAAGCTCGGTTGAAACGATACCGCGCAATGGTCACTTGACTGACTCCCCCGCACTTGCCATAAGTTTTGGCCATGGCACGTACAAGTAATGATCAACAGTACCTGTTGTTTACTCCCCTGCTACCAAACATGGAACTCAAAACCAAAGTTCCCCAAAAGCAGATTCCTCTACAAAGGATGGATTGTGTGGGTTCCGTGTGTATCTGCAAAAGAGTGCTAGGATGACACTGGGTACATGCATCGAACTTCACCAGTGTCAGTTTTGAACACAAAGCGCATGTCTCACAGCTTGATTGCAAGCAGCGTTTTTAAAGGGGGTCTGATTTGCAGCACATGGCTTACTTGGAAGCAGCTTCAGCATGGTGGGCGTAAACGAAACCATGTTTTTAGGATGTCCACCAAAGAGTCCAAGCCCTCGAAGTTAAGATGGTGAACACATTGCATTCGCACCTGAAATTAGTCGGGTCCGCCACACGCACCAGTTCCGCTTACAAGTGCCCGTTGTGCACAGGGTTGGGTGACCATTGCCAAAGACTTGGCTTACTTCTCAAGGCCTCATTTGCTTTACCGTTTTGGCCTTTTGGTCTTTGGCCGTTTGGCGTTTCCAGATGCCCTGCATGCTTCGTTGCCCTTTCACCGGCGGTTTCCTCGTTGCCCCGTTTCGCGCAGCCAGGGAGACGAGGTGGAAGTCCGGCAGCGCTGCGAGGACGATACGGGCGAAGTGGGCGTGTGCTTCGCCCCGTTTTTTGGGGTCGGCGATGGTGTCCATTGACCGTTTCTTTTTTGGTTGGGAGGGGAAGCCCCTCCTAAAATCGACAAAACAGAAAAAAGTTGGTACCCTTCTTCCAACCTCTCTAATCTGGAGGACCTTTCTCTAATCTGGAGGACCTAAAAGGGTTTTTTTTGGCGCGCGTTTTTTTGTGCAGCTGACTTGCTTACAGTGTTTTGTTCAAGGGCTAACACATCAGACACATGTTTTCCTGTATGACAAAATGTGCAACTGAAGTTACCCCCACAAGTTTTTCTAGTTATGGCCCTTTGCATTGTTTGGACTTCATGGCTCTGCGGGTAGACCAGGTCGGCAAACAGAAGGTTGAAAGCTTGTTTGGGCCAATCCACCGTGAGTTTCTGGGATGGGTTGCCCGAGTGTTATGGGCGTGCCGCAAGCGGGTTGAATTCTGCGCACTTGTTTTTCGGTTTTGAGAGCGGTTCAGTTCAAGACGAGCGGGATCCCTCCCGCAAGTCACATCCGAACCCGCCCTCCTCTGAAATTTGGCTTGGATCCCTGAATAGGGAGGGTATGGCTACGCCAACATATCACCTACACAGGCTTTAGGAACTTCATCTTTGGGTGGCCGAGGTTTTTCCCTTCAAAGACAGTGTTTCCCTCAGTCACCGTGCAATACTGTGACAATCCTGTAGCTTGGATGCTTTGCTAGGACCTCTCCATTTATGTTTCTTCGATGGCCAGTTTGGTATTGGTATGGCCATACTGTGGATTCACCTAAGTAAAGGACCCCCGAGTGTCCTTGACGGGGGCCTTTGAGGGCTTTTGCATTTCGCCTTTAGTAAATCCGAGACGTCGCCTTTGACGAGTTGAAGTGAGGTCGTTGGATCAGCTGGATCTTTTGCAAGACCCGGTTCAGGGTGCCAGGCCTTTGAACTTCACGGCGATCAAGTTGAAAACAGGGCGCTCTTCGGCTTGGTGGCGTACCCCGAAGTAAAATAAGCACCCAGGACACCAATCCAAAACACTGCCTGACCAATCGACAGGTGAAATTGCGGACCCGGAAAGGAACAGGTCATATTCGCCCTGATCTGCCTCTGTTTTGTGTGTAACCCTCCTTGGACGTTAGAAGAAAGAGTCGCTTGCGCATCAAGTCGCTGAAAAACAGCGATGAGTTCAAATGTTTCAGTTGAGTCCTGTTTGGACATGTTGGATGGCGCCGCAAGGCGTTCGTTCGCTCCGGTCTCCAGGACCTCACAGCGCGCCTGGGCCGCAGCGAGGCGCAGAACGCCGAACTCCGGCGCCGCCAGCGCCGCCTCGAGGCGCGCGCGACGGTCGAGCACGGCAGCCCCCCAAAACCTCCATGGACCATTCTGCTGGTTCTACTACCTGACGGTTATTCAGGCAAATTAGCGAGGCCAATGTGTATATATATACCACATTTATATACATATATATATATATAACGAGGTGTGTGTGTGTGTGTGTGTTTGTTTCTGACCATGTTGGTGGAACCAAAAGTCAGCTCGTGTTTTGGTCGCTGCTCACTTTGCCCTTGTTCGCTTTGTAAAAGGAGACCCTTGGGGGGCTCCAAATCCCTGTTTTGAAGCATACCCTCCATCTCTCCTTCCAGCGAAGGGGGGTTCCTCTGAGATCATGAAAATCTGCTTAAGGTCTGGGTTAAAGATTTTGGGAGGGGTTTGCATGCAAATCAAATTGCGGGCGGGGCATCCATTTGAAAGTCCTGCTGCATCATCGCCGCGTGGAACCTACCAGGTGTCAAGTGGTTGATATCTAGTCTGCAAGATTGAGCCGGGCACATCATGGAATCCAATGGATTCCGCAGGTGGTCTTCCAAATCTGGCCGAGAATATATTGACCATCTATGGATGTTGCTCAACCAGGAGCAACCCCTCAAGCTAAGAGACAAAACTTGAACTGGGCACGTGGCAGGCCGATGACCAGATCCATCCGACAATGCCTGAATCTAGGCAAAATGCGGCTAGCATTCATATACTGGAAAGAGAAACGAATTCTTTAAGAAAACATCATATTCTTTTTTTTTCGGATGTTTGCCCACCAAATCCAGCAAGCAGCCAAGAAGAAAACATAGTCACGTGTAACTAGTTTCATTGGGCAGTTTCCTGCCGATATTCAATGTATGCTAGCCGTGCCTATTCGACAGGTATGCTAAGTGAGTGTTACTCACTATCATTCGCAGGAGGTTTTTTTTTTAAAGATGGTTTGAATGGGAAACCACAACGAAGCCCACAGCGTGGAGGTGTTCCCCCCCCCCCCAATATTTTGACACATACCGTCACATATTGTTATGTGAGATTGAAGGGTTTTTGTTCAACGCTCAGATCCTTCAGGAGCAGCTAGCGGAGAGCTCCGAGGCGTGCGGGTTTGGAGTTTGATGCTGAAGTCAAATGGATGCCAGCATGTGTGGGCCCTCAAAAAGAAACCCACACACACACACTGTGTTTTGGTTGCCCGTTTTGTGTGGACAGAACTTAGCCAAAAAGGGTGCCCTGGAAATTAACGACTTCGGAGTAATCTGAAGGACTCTACCAATCACGAGTGCCGCTTTAGTGAATTGATTCATTGCTGATTCCTTTAGCTATGGCTCTCGCTTGTGGAGTTCCAAAGTTTTCCAAAGTTGACATAAACGTGGAACCACAAGGCGGGTCACGCGTCTCCTCCCATGTTTGTGGACTGGAGGGTAACGCAAACTTCGAACAGCTCAGTTTGTTCTTCATATTCAAGGCACATGTGGCATGTGTCATTTTTGGTTCTGGCCAGGAAATTCAGGTCAGACTTGAAGATGCGAAAAGAACCCTTGGGCATCCCATGTCACCATTTCTAGGAATGGGTCCATGAGCGACTCTTGTGAGGCAAAGGGCATCCCCAAAAAGTAATTGTGCGACGATGGCAAAGAGCAGTTCATTTCGACGGACACCACGAGCCATGAAAGCCGTGTCCGTCGAAAACTGCCACACTCGTATGGCTTTGGGGATAGGTATGGTTGCGCCAGGAGCCTTCGAGCATGCGAACGATGAACAGTTTTTCGCTCACTCGCAGGAACTTGTTGCACTCAGTTCCACCAAGTCTCCCCTTGGGTTCCGAAGAACGGGGCATCGAGGCCCCCGCGTTTTGCCGTTCGAAAATCCCATGACTCGGTGTTCCATTTGGTGTGGGGCTTGCCTTGGTTAGTCTCCCAGACCTTCACTACGATTTGGTTGGTCGTTGATTTTAAAGAGAAGCCCTTCCCAAAAAAACTGCAGAGGTTCTCCTCCAAAACCGATCAGTTCGCACATGGACCCCACTTGTGGCGCGCCGATTCCCTGGGAAATCTTCAATTGTCTACAGTGCCAACTGTATGTTAACTGATTGTTTGATTAAACTCCACATGGGTTGTGAATAGCGGAACACACCAAGATAGCCGGTGTCCTTTAGTTTTCCCCAATCCCAAAATGGGTACGCACATCGGCCAGGAGCTCCACAGAACTCAGGAGCGGCGTTTCGAAGGGAGCCCTTGGTTTGGGCTTCCTTTTTCTTGAATAGTTCAACAGGGCTCCACAAAAGAAATACATTTTAAATGTTGCAACCATTTGAAACATATTGCTTTTTCAACAAAGCAGAGGGACACCGCCATTTACAAGTTGCAATGGTGTATAATGCATCCGGATCCCTGTTCAAAGGGAACGTAAACCAGGCGCCTTGTGTCAGGTTCCATGTTAGCAATTGGAAGGGCCTACTGCCTATCGGGATAGATTTACTCGTTCATTTTCTTGGAGGGGAACCTGCTTTTGGTCGGGGAAACCAAGAGGACACCAACCATTTCATGGGTAGGCGGAAACCCATGATCCGCAATCGTAAACCATTTGCGTGGTCCAGCCATCTGTTGGGGCTGTGAGTTCTTTCCTCCGTGTTTTCTGGGGATCCGTCTTGCGGGGGCTGATGTGGGTGCATCCTTGATTCGAGGTCACATGTTGTTTGTTTGGGTTTTACGGGAAGTGAAGTCGAGAAGGGTCCCATTTCAGGCACGGGTTTTCGGGTGTAAGCTCCATTCCAAGATGGCAGTTTTCCGGATATCAAACATGGGCAATTCTTTAGCAACCTCGCAAACGGTCTTGAATTGGCTGAACAAGTACAACTCGCCAAAACATGGACCGAAACAAACACCTCTGCCGGTCTTCCCCAAAAGGTGTGTGTGTGTGTGTGTTTGGGTGGTGTTTTAAGGAATGGGGATGTGATTAGACATGACCCAAAGAATGGGGGCCCAACAAAATGTCTAGTTACAAGTCTTGCCCAGTCAGGGTTTTGGTCTCAAGACTTCATTTTCTACGAGCATAATTTTTTGTCCACACCACACCACAAGGAGACACTCAAAAAACACACGCGCACGCACACGCACACACGCACACACCCACACACACACACACACGCACCCACACGCACCCACACGTACACGCGCGCACACGCGCGCACACGCACACACGCACACACGCACAAACGCACGCACGCACGCACGCACGCACGCACGCACGCACGCACGCACGCACGCACGCACACACACACACACACACACACACACACACACACACACACACACACACACACACACACACACACACACACACACACACGCACGCACGCACGCACGCACGCACGCACGCACGCACGCACGCACGCACGCACGCACGCACGCACGCACGCACGCACGCACGCACGCACGCACGCACGCACGCACGCACACACACACGCACACACACACACACACACACACACACACACACACACACACACACACACACACACACACACACACACACACACACACACACACACACACACACACACACACACACACACACACACACACACACACACACACACACACACACACACACACACACACACACACACACACACACACACACACACACACACACACACACACACACACACACA